AAACCACTGAAATTTGGGGACATTTTGGGAGAAGTCCAGGTGTGAACTACTCTACATGTGTTACATATGCATGTAGTTCAACCACTGGTCAACCGGTTTTTAATCATGCACATGTGTGGTATACCTGGTGGATACACTTGAACAAGCCTGGTTGAACTATTTTGTAAAATCTCTTTGTTGCTCATCTTTTGTTGGTGGCTGCAACTCTCACAGCCTTCGTGGCTGATGACTTTGTGTACTATTATTTTCATGTGAGTGGTTCCTTCCATACTGATAAATGACATTAGCTATGGAAAACCGGTGGTGTGACCAAGCCTTGGGGTCTGGTTGTAAAAGGTTGACTACGCGTAGATGATCCAAAGCATCGTTCGATCCGATGGTCCAAAGCATGGTTAACTAAAGTCGTCACTTAACCTTGTCCTTGTTTACCTCTTATTGGCAATCCACTCCCTGCTAAAACAAGAGATGGTGCACTTTCCCCTATCCCTTTGGTGGGAATACCCATACGCCATATGCAGGCTCAGGCTCATGCCTTTTTGATGCAAGAGACACTGAGCACACGCCGTCAATTCCTCTTCAACAAGTACTGCCTTTGCATGTGTGCCATGCACCTACATGTAGGTGAAGTTTTTCTCGCAAGCCTGTCTCTTCTTTGCTTGTGAGAAGGTGCTTTTAATCAGGGTACCGCACATGTAATCACACAAGTGTACACTGAACATTTAACCTGTACCAAAACATCATCACTGTGGGAGCTGCATCCCCCAATGTGCCCCTGGTTTAACTGGGAGCATGTTCAGAGGGACATGTGACCTCTACAGATCAGGAAGTTGTACTGCTACCACAATCCTTGGCACAGACTGTGTTATCTCCGGAAGAAATACATGGTATTTCCCCAGCAGTGTCTGGGTGCACCACTGAGAAGACAATGAAACTCTACAGCACAATGGCGAGTGCTATTGTGAAAACAAACACCATTGTGTGCTCGTTTGAGTACAGATTTTCAAAAACCACTCGGAACACAGTGGGCTGCCATAAGACCTGTTCAAATTGGTTTTGTTTGCACACAGCAACAGTTGAGAGATAAAGTTCAACTCAATCTTCTTTGCAAGTCGCAGCTATTTTTTGTAGCTGTGTAAAGTAATAAATGTTAGCACTTGTATACCAGAACAAGTACCGCTAAATCTTACATTTCTGCCATTGGCTTTATAACATTAACACATTTTTACAGAACTACACGTGGGCCATTCTATAAATTAAGGTTCAAAAAGTGTTACATTTTTGTGTCCCTGCCACACTTGTTTGGCAGATAATACCTACATTAATCACTCTTGGAACTTTATGAATGTGTTCTAAAATCATACATGTACATGTCTGGTAAGTGCCTAGGACACAAAAGAACTGACCCTAAATTTATAGAATAGCCCATGTACCGAACATATACCGCGTATTGTAAATGATTCCCAAATGTACATGTAGCTGGACATGTACCTACAGTACATGTATATCTAGGCTTACATACCAGTACAATGTGAGTAGGGCCAATGCAGACAAAATGTGCAGTAAAAACACACATCCTTATGGTCACCAGATGACGCGCTACCTAAACTACACATTGTGGGTACATGTACCGGTACAACACAAGTCCATTTGGGGTATACAGAGGTGTACCCAATGAGAATGGTCCAATGGGCAATAAGCAAATTGAGTGTTAATTGAAAACAAGAAACAGTATTGGCATACATGTACATGTATATTGATCTAGCTGAGTGCCAAATGTACGGGTAGAATTATCCTGGACGTCCTTGTGACACACAGCTAAGTCAGAGCCTACCTCCCCCCCCAACACCCACCCAGGAGGTTAAGAACCGGATTGCTTAATCACTGCTGACGCACATACATGTACGTGTACATGTACACTCCTGACACTAAGGCAACCACATGTCCTGCTTTAGTGTGCACATGTGTGACGACATCCTAAGCATGTGTGAAGTCAGTCTACCCACATCTGTGGCTATTAACAGAACCCTTTCTCAGCATTCTGTGCAGCTGCCCACATTGGTAATCCATTAAGTGTGCTTTACAGAGAACTCAGGCCACACATCTATGTAGACCATGGACATTGTCAAGTCACATCATGATATATTGGCAGGATGCTACATGTAATGTCACATGCTATTATTATCTCAAATGGTTTAAGATGTTTTTCTTCTGCAAATACTGGGAAAACGTTGAATTTAAAGCTCATCTGGAACCACAAGCTGACCAACAAAGAACTGGGAAACTACATATACTGTGAGAAGCACACATTGGAATTTCAAATTATAAATACCACTTGCCTTCTACATTTGAATACATGCAGATGTGCGTTCTCGAAGAAAAACAGAACTGTCCACGTGTGGCAACTGTCACTATGAAGTAAAAGCCTCTCAACACACGTCTGACTGCACTAAAACTACATGTACTAGTACTTTTGTTTAAATTCTTTGTTAAACTCAGTGTGGCGCAATTTCTGTGAAGCCAAATTGTGCGTGCACACTGTACACTGATAAATGTCAACACATGTTCACTGTTTTGCTGATAAATTGTTGCAGTTGGTCCTGCTCCCAATATTTCTGCATGTGCTCATGGCTACATGTACATTTGAAGCACCTTTGAAAGTGATGTGCAGGTATAAGGGTACATGTCTACTAAGCATATATTGACCAGTACGCTGGCAGTCTGCAAATTTTGTTTCCTTGAGATTGGTAACTGTAATGCTTACAAGTTACATCAATTACCCTATGTAGGGTGTACATGTATGTACTGGTATGTAAAATAACATTGAAATTGGAGGACTGAGGACTGTTTGGGTTACCGTTCCAAGCTTGAATTTGCGTGAATTTGCATGGTAAAGTGACATGCACAAGAGCATTTGGGGGAAATTTTGGAATTGCAGATTAACAACCAAGGTTACATGTACAAATAAAAAACCTCCAAAACCCTGATTTCATTCACGTACGAGCAAGGGTTTTGAGCAGTGTCAAGGACAATTTCTATTGCATGCCTTTTGTTAGTCATCTTTAAGTTTAATATTAAATTACATGTAAAGTTCACCAAAAACCGGATAAAAAAAATGGTCAAAACAGAACTACACATAGATACTGTATGTACATGTACGGAAAGGGAAGCCATTGATGTTCATTGCTGTCCGCTGTAAATGTACATGTACCTTGCAATGGTACATGCAGCTTCTCTACACTACATGTAGATCACCCAAGAGGTATTACAGATAATATCTTGGGCTAGTTTCCAACAAATTTGATATGAGTACTAGTATGTAAATATGCATACTGTACACATACCGATATGTACTGATTTTGAACACGTACACTGATGCAGTGTTCATGAAAAGAAATTTGATCCGGACAAGCCCAGCAGAACACAGAGATTCAATGGAGGTACGACGTATGTACTATACATGTGGTAGGGTACCTAAAGGTGTAACACTTCAACTTTTCTTAAGTTTTCCTTATTTTATGACATTCTGCCAGATTTGCTTGACGAGCTCCAAACTTATTCAATCTAATACTGTGGTATTGCCTCCATAAAACCAATCCATTGCCATGTTCAAAACGTACATTGAAATCTAGTTATGAGTCCTGGGGTCAACAAGGTGGACGAGGAAACTCCGAATCAAATACAGGATTCTCCAATATTAAAGAGCTGAACAAACCCAACGTTCAACTCAATTCCACATCAACCTTCAACAAGTTTATATCTAGAATTTTCAGGAAGCCAACAAATTATGATAAACCATTTTACTTCAAATCTGCAGTTACAAACATGTCCCCTTTTGTCATGTTTGTCACTTTCATTTTTCTTTTTTTTTTTGGGCCACAGTCATTAGCGTTGACTGCCACGCGGATGGTTTGTTCACTGTACAGTACAAATACATGTGCTTACCTGGGGATTGAGATGTTTATATCATAGGATTATTTCTGGTCCAAGTGAGCAGGGATGTTACATGTATGCCCCAACTGCCCAACTATAGATGGGACCGTCCCCACCAGAGTGCTATACATGTAGACCCCCTGCGTATGACGCAACATTAGAGGGCATTTCTTTCTTCCTCAAGGATAGGCTCGCGTAAATCTTTTGCGCATTCATTGAAATTAAATTAACAAAGAATAGCCTCTGACTCCACCTTCACGCAACGGGTCTATAGTTGGGCCGGCTCAACTGCAGCACAGTGTGTGCATGCCCAAATCATTTTGCTTACATCAGCAACTCATGCTTGAAGAAACGAGTTTATTTTTAAGTGCCATATTTTAGATGAATTATTAATTACGTCAGGTGTGAGCTGCATAAACTCGGAGAAGGTTGAGAAATGTTTTACAGAGATTCGCCACCAATAGAACTTTGGGTCAGCCCAGCTGCAGCACTATAGTTGGGGTGTAACAGGGACAACGTGATATCAAAGAGATGGCAAAGAGAGTGTCAGGTACTGCAAAACATATATCACATCTTTTTGTAAATTCAGCAGACGAGCACTTTTTGGTTATGTCTGTACAGGCATGATGGGGTTCATTACCATTAGCACCCTGTTCCTACAATAAGGAAACAAAGTCCACTTTCTCAAACTATCTAACATTTTGACCTTAAGGAACCATTACTCGGTCCTAATAGGCCTTGTTTAGGTAAATTTTTACAATATTTAAGCAAGAAAAGTTCAAATTTCTAACCCGAGTTTGGCAAAAGACACCATTCAGTTGAATTAAACTTGCTAATTTGTCAATTTCTGCACTGAGCAACAACAAATTAAATACATGCCCACTAACAATCCATCAGACACGTGAGTTTATGGATGTTGATTAACAGCAGGCATGCAGGTAAAAAGGAAGCAAACATGGCCAGGTACATGCTAATTGGCATGATGGTAAAATAAAAAATGTCAACACATTGATCATGCATGCGAATGGAAAACATGTAAACACTGTAACCCACACGAATTAGCTACTTACCGCACGGTTAATCTTGTGTTCTGGGGGCGACTTCGTCAGGAAGCCCGAGTGTAAGATCTCCTCCATGTTAAATTTAGTCCTTATTCAGGTTGCTCAGGATTCACACCAAGCGAAACAAACAACTACGTACGTACACAGTACAACCCAACGCGGAAATACACAAGTCCACTGACGCATGCCATTTTATACTGGTACTTTGCGAGTCTGACTCATTCAACTTTGTACCTTGATGTTAACCGGTTACCTCCGATAATCATGTCAACAGACATGTACATGTACTAAACATGTTCACGTACTAACTTCACAAACTGCATGGACATTTTTACAGAAATTAATGAATTAATTTGTATTCGCGTATTCAACAGTTATACCGTTGGGAATACTTAAGGAAAAAAAATGCGAATTCATCAGATGTAAATGGAAAACAAATCTTTTGCTTTCAACTAGCTCGGTTTTCAGATTCAAAACATGTTTATCCTTCACCATCTGTGCACATTCTGTATGAACGTTGGTGGCGTTTCTAGTATCGAGAAACAACCATTGTCCCGATCATTTGCATCATTTTTCCGGGAAAGCTGGTTATGGAGGTAGGTGGGAGTGTTTCGTGGAACTTGAAGAGATTTTAATTCTGCGCCAGTAATGGCCGTCCGATCCTTTATTTTAGTTGCAATAAAACTTGTTAATATTTCATGTATTTGGGCGAAAGTCTGAAAGTGTTTATTTATTGTAAGCATGTTTATCTTGTTTATACCGTTCGATTATCACTCAAGGGCCGGAAAAGGAAACCACCTCGAGAAGGCTTCAGAACAAGATGCGAGGAATGTTTTCAGTGGGACCATAGAGGAAGGAACTAAGTTTGGAAAGCAAATCATGAGCAAACAAAAAGATGGTTTGTGCCAAAGGTTTGTCTTCAATAGAATGGCCACAGCCTTTGATATGGTATTCTCCGCAGAAGGCATTTGGAATTTTTGCAAACCAAAATCTGAAAATGTATGTGTATGCTGCTGCTTATTGTTAACTAGGGACCTATACACCTACCAGTGCCATTGTATTACAAAGAGTTTGTTGTCCTGCAGAAAATCTTTGTTTTTTACAAATTTCAAAAATGAGGAAACCACTTTGAGGATTTGAGTCACAGCATAAGCTTTATAATCGTCTCCAAATTGATTTTAAATTATTAACAGAGCTGTAGACTTGAATCACCTGAATTGGACTCGAGTTGGACTTGAGTCGCTGTATCTGTGACTCGTGACTTGACTTTGTAACTGTCAGTTTTTTTACTTGTGACTTGACTTGGATTTGCACTGTATGACTTATTACCAATGCAAGTCAGAAAACTACTGAATCAAACCCATAAAAGTTTGAAATGAGGCCAATCAACTTACGCCTTGTGTTCTTAAAATAATCATTATATCAGACTTTGTTAGGCTTGCAACGTCCACTTCGGCCTTATCTGCCTAAGGCAGAATTACTTGGCTGTGGCTTAAAATCAGTTACTTTTTACAGCTAAATAAAATAATGCAAACTTGACTTGTACTTGAAGAAAAAAACTTGTAACTTGCTTGTGTTTGGACCAAATTGACTTCAGACTTGAATTAATTTGACCTGTGATCCAAGGACTTGTGACTTGGACTTGCAAATACTGACTTGCTGCCACCTCTGATTATTAATACATTGACACATATTTCCCCACAAGGTTATCACATCCTACCACAGAAAATAGTGAAGAAATTCATGTGCACTAATCTGGTAAATGCAACAAAAGACAAATGAAGATGGCATCCACTGACAAACCATCCCAAGTGCTGCCGGATGAAGTCATCATTGAGAGTGACTCCACCTCTTCCCCTGGATCCAGTCCAGATATCATTGAAATGGACTCGCCCCTGCTGATTCCACCGCATGCAGTAGCAGAGCCACTTCAAGCCAAAAGTGAAGCACTGCCCTGGCAATGTAAACGCTGCACTCTCTTAAACCCGCCGGAGGCACCCATTTGTGCCGTTTGCGAAGCCCGCCGTTTTACACCGTCACCAACAGTGGAGGCAATGGAAGTCAACGGCACGTCCATGCAACAAGAATCCCCGAAGATGGGGCATAAGACCTCTCAAGGTGCATCTTATCCAAAAGCGGCAGAGAGTGGAACGGACACTGAGGCTCAGGATTCTCCCAAACCACCAGGAGTCATAAACAGAAACTCATTTATTGATTCAGCAAAGCAGAGTGTTGGGCAGTTCATATCCTCACTGATGTCGGGCATCAAGCCATCGTCGCCTGAGCCTTCAGCCTCAGATGCGGCGGCTGCTAAGCAGTCAGGCATTTCATCATCCGAACATTTGCTAGAGACTGGCAAGGAGACTCGTAAGAGGGGTGGCTGGTCCTGCCAGCGTTGCACCTTCCTGAACCCTACTGAGGCTAGCTCTTGCCAAATGTGCGAGTTTACACCAGTAGGGAAACAGGGTGTCCGATCCAAGGGTATTAGAGCGGATAGCAACTATTTCCAATTCCCTCAAGGCTCACCCATGCATGGATCGGAGACATCAAGAAATCCACAAAGTCAGGAAATCAGATGTAAAGGCAGTGATGAAACAGACTCTCAGGAGGACAGAAAAGAAGAAACAGATTCCTCTGAGCCTATGGATGATGGTGTACTTGATCTAACTGTTAAAGCTGAGAGGCTGCGTCCTGATCAGGCAACTTGTAAGAAATGTGGGTGCAATGTGAAAGCATCTTCAACTTTATGTGAAAAATGCAGCAGTGCATCTCAGGAAGGTCCATCTCAAACACCTGGTGATCAAGTTGCTGGTACCAATGAGCCAACTCGCCAAATAACTGACCGAGTCACTGGTCAAAGCTTGGAGCAATCCCAAATCACTGATTCAAGTCAGCCATCATCCATGTTACCAAAGGAGCGATCCCAACGTGTTGCTCTCCGACGCAAGCGCTGGACCTGTCCCAAATGCACACTCGTAAACGATGATGTCAGTGTGAAGTGTAAGGCATGTGGGGAACCAAAAGAGATGCCAACTCGGGCGGAACAAACCCTGAGCCAGTTCATTCCAAGGGAGAATGAGTGGGCCTGTCCACAGTGCACCTTTGCAAACCCACAGATTCTCAAGTCCTGTTCCATTTGCGGGACTTGGAGGGTGACATCGGAGACCAGGGCTTCCGAGCAAGCAGAGCACTGGCTGTGTCCCCAGTGTACTCTGGAGAATAGTCTCCAGTTGGATCACTGCAGCGTGTGTGGAATTGAGAGGACAGAGGTCGAGAAGGGGCAGCTGGAGGCTTCAGGTGGCAGATTGAAAAGGCAGAAGAGTGTATTGTCTGACTCCAGACGGAAGGAGGATGAGGAGAATGCTAGAGAACAGTTCCAGCGAATCAGCTTATTCTGTAAACATGTGAGTACACTTGCAACCTGCACAGAGGAAAGAGTCAGTTAATAAGGTTGTGTGAATGACCCAAATAGTTTACATGGATTGTCTAGCTAGTATATCCAAATTTGTCATACTTTCGAACTATCAAGGGTCAACATCCAATGTTGTTGCCTCTTTCTTCAACCCTTGTAATTAAATTCAGTAAATTAAGGTCTTTCAGTGTCAACAGCTCTCCTGTTGTTGCCTATCAGTCCTGTAAGCATTCAAAAAGGATTCAGAGGAATTATAAGTCAACTTCAAAACATCACAGATGAACTATTAGCAGGGAACTACTGTAAAATATGACAGGATGGGGATAAATTTGCAAAACAGGATTAGATAACAAATCAGTGAAAATCAGTCATACACATTTGTATTTTACCTGAGTCAAGGTTACAAGTCATTTGCGAACTTTATCAAATGAGCTTCAGTTTGTTTCTGAACGATTTGATATATCATTTCATGGTTTTGTTAAAAAAAGTAAATCTAATGGATTTCATTTCCAGAATTCAATGCAATTTGTAGACGACTCCTTCCCTCCCGCTCCAAGGTCGCTGTCCTTCAAACCAGACAGCCCTGGGGTCCACACCAAGGTCTCCCAATGGTTTCGACCGGAGCAGATAGCATTTTCCAGCTCAGAGGGCATGCCATCCTCAGTCAAGTGGGAGGTCTTCCGCACCCCTCTGCCCTCAGACATCTCACAAGGGGTCTTGGGAAATTGCTGGTAGGTTGAGATTCCTGCCAGTTTAGATATCCCAACTTTCACTGACACATTCAACTTTTTCTCTTATCAATTATTTCCGGTAATGAAGCCAAGGATTCCGCAATTGTGCCCAATAGTTCCGCAAGAGGGTATTGTAGCTCATAAGCCTCGAGAAACCCATAGAGAGGAGACATTGAGAACTGGATACAGTTTTAAGAGGTGGGAGGGAAACCCCAGAGGAATGCTCTGGGTGAAAGTTATGGAATCAGGTGGATACTGAAAACCCAATCCACTTGTGGACCGATCTGGGAATCCAACCTGGGCTGTAGAGATGGAAGGAAAGGAAAGAAGTGCTATACCAACCTGGCTGCGCATAGAATGGGTTGTCAAGTGTGGTAGTGGAGGGCTAGCAGCACACAAAAACTTCTGTTGATGCCAAAGTTGTGACCAAACTTAATTTGCAAAGAATTCATTTTGAGTGATAGTCTTTTGGCAGTTATAAAATTGTTCAGGATCTCTGATGTCCGGTTAAGTCTTCCCATTGAGAGTAGATGCGAAAATGGCTGTGGAGTTTTCATGACAAATAATAGAAACTTTTGTGTAATAATTTTTTCGTCCTGCAGGTTCCTGAGTTCATTAGCAGTTATTGTGGAGCGTCCAGAACTACTGGAGCACATCATGATCTCCAAGAATGTCAACAACGAAGGTGCTTATCAAGTCCGTCTTTGCAGAGATGGCTCGTGGGAGACTGTTCTCATTGATGACCTGTTTCCGTGCGACGAGAGAGGACGACTTGTGTTCTCAAAGGTAAAGAAGGTTTTATTGCTCAATTGTAAATCCTGTAGTTCCTCTGAATCAGTATGTGTTTTATTGATTTTTTTGGAGCATTTCCTCGGGGAAGGAAAAATGGAGATCAAATTATTGTCCTTTTGGACTTTGCCCTGCAGTTGTTAATCAACTCTAGTTTAGTTTCCAAGGCACATAAACTGAGCTTACATTGTGGATATGTCAAGTATATTAAAGCAAATCGAAGCCATCTTAAGTAACGAGCAATGCCTTCTTCACTTTATTAAAATTTGTCCTCATAATAAAGATCCTTTCAAAACTCTTGAGGTTGGTATCAGTGTAGTGGAAATCATGATGCTCAACCTTATTTAAACTAAAAGCTAAGTAACACAGAGGTTCGTAGTACAGCACCACAGTCAAATGAGGGATAACAACTCTTGGAATTCACCAGTTATTAGAGTTCAGATTCCTGTCACTGAGTTGTTTTTTTGATCATCAGGGATTTAAGGAATCCATTTAGCTTTTTATAACTTCTTGTGTATGACTGCAGTTTATTACCCTTCTCACCCAAAGGCCAAGAGGAAACAGCTATGGGTTCCACTGATTGAGAAGGCCCTCGCCAAGATGAGTGGGTGCTATGAGGCCCTGATAGCTGGCAGGTGCTTGGAAGGGCTGGCTACACTCACTGGCTCACCTTGTGAGAGCCTACAGCTCAATGGTATACAAAAGTGCATCCAGGAATCCCCTTGAAACGACTTCAGTAATGCCATTCAAGACTGGTGAAGTGATTTATTATATGGTCACTTTTCATATTCACGGTTGCATTGCCCATAGTTAATCATTTGAAAGATGTTGGAAGAAAAAGCAGAGAGCACAAAGGCCATGCATCCACTTAGACTTTGTAAAAAACTATTTTAAAATATTGTACAGTACTGATACCATTGTACCCTTGTACAGTACTTTTCTATATGAACTTACAGGTGTGCACTGAGGAAATTTCCAGAAACTAATTTGACTTCCGTTTCAAGAAAACTAACTGGCATTTCACCTATCCATATCTGCTGATAGCTTGTCTCATTTGTCTATCGATTTCACTGTTAATATGTTATCTTCCTTTTCTACAGCAAGCAGTGCCACTCGTGGGGAGATAATTGACAAGGATCTGGTGTGGGCTAAACTCCTTAGCTCCAAGGAGGCCGGGTAGGTTTCAAGAAAAGGATTCCAGTTGTCTGAGCAGATGAATGGAAAGTCAAGGAGATTCTCTTTATGAGTTAAACACAGTGTCAGTTGAATATGTAATAATTTTTGTACTGGGAAAGATATTGAGGGAAAGGATCATAACTTTAAAATTGGTGTTCTTGCTTAAGCCTCCTTGATCGTGTCTTATACTAATTGCGTTATATAAAAATTGTAGGTAACAGCTAATATTTACCTAGACTGCACTTTACGCTACATGCACACTGTATCTGACTTACCTTAATTAAGTTCTTGACTCATGGAACTATGTTCTGGTCCTGTGATGCAGGTTCTTGATGGGTGCGTCTTGTGGGGGTGGAAACATGAAAGTGGACACTGAGCTGTATGAGAAGGTTGGCCTGAGACCTAGACACTCCTACTCGGTGCTGGATGTTCAGGATATATGCGGCAACAGGTAGGGTTGAAGATGGGGCATACTGACAACCTGTCTGAAACCCAAAAAGCCTGATTCAATAAGTTCTCATAATAATTCCCATAGTCGGGTATTCGTAATTGCATTAACTGAACGGAAGGATCCATTCCCCTCTTTTGGTTAAAACAGTTCATTACTCAACACTGTAAACAAGTAAATAACAATCATTGTAAAGCGACAGAAAGATGAGTGGACCCTTAAAGGCTTAATGGATCAGTTGATCTTGTAGGCATTGGATCATGGGAGATTGGAGGAGAGAAAAGTAACTTTCTTCTGCATTCATGCAATGTATGGTACGGGTAGCAAGCAAGAATTTATTTTGAAACGAGTTAGCAATTCAGTAAGAGTAAAATCTTTTGTAGAATTGTTTTGCTGTCAAGTCAAGACTGGAAGAGTGCGTCTTCGCAGTCATAAACAAGAACTGGTTCGGTTTTAATTCATCAGAGATTTTCTCTGGAAATGTTAATGAGGTAAGAATTGCAGTCTTGCAGTACTCAGATCCTCAAAGCTATTAACCCAAGAGACACAACTAAACCAATTCTTGGTTATGACCACCTGAACACACCCCAGGTGTGACATTTGTGCATTCTGGTTTATTTGCAGATTGATACGTCTGCGTAATCCTTGGGGGCGCTATTCATGGCGGGGCGATTGGTCTGATGAGTCCCCAAAGTGGACGCAGGACTTGAGGGAGGCCCTCATGGCCCATGGTGCAGGGGAAGGCGTGTTCTGGATGTCACTTAAAGACATGATGAGGTGAACTATTTCTTTATATTGACCACTGGCTCGGGCAATAGTTTCTGTGTGGAAAACTCTGCACACCTGAAGTGTGTGGCTAGTGCACAAGTTATGAAACAGGATTCATGAATTTGCTGCGCTTAACAATAGTTTCAACATTTGTATATATGCATATTGTAAATCACAAACATTATATAAAGTAATCCTTTTTTCATAAGTTGGTGGAAATCAACAGTGCAGGTGTTCAAAATCTGGGTTTTGGTCAAGAACTCTGTCCTTTTTTTTAGATTCTTTGACTGTGTGGATATCTGTAAGCTACACTCCAACTGGGCTGAAGTTAGAATTCAAGGTGTCTTACCAAACTTTGCTGGGGGGCCCATGAAGGTGACAATGCTTACAGTGGACAAGCCAACAGAGATTGACTTCACTCTTCATCAGACTTGGAGGTAGGAAAAAGAAAAATTTTAAGATTACAAATTGTAGTCAAATACATCACTTTCCAATCACTATCTCAGGTGATAATCACAAAGTTGGAGCAGATTTGAAAAGATTAGTTGTCAAAAATGACAACTGGTTTACCTTAACAATGAGCAAGCTGAAATTGATCTCTGCAACGTCTGCTAGTTTCTTTACTGTTTAACAGGGCATTTAATGTGTATGTGGACATAGTTAATAATTAAGATCTATCGTTTACTCTTCAATTCACATACTGTAGATACCAAAGAGATTGGTCATCCTTTGGTTAGTCTTAGTCTTAAATTTGATTCTTATTTCACTCAGTAATTGAAGCTTATTCATTTTTTGTCTATGTTTCTGCAGGAGATTGGAGAAATCTGCCAGGAATCCACTGGATCTGACCATAGTAGTCCTGAGAGCCTGTGGGATGACAACCTCTGGTATGTCAAAGGTCATGACCTATTGCAAACGGCAGTTGAGGGCATTTGTGGGCTGCAGTGCATTCTTGGAGCCAGGCTTGTATGTGGTCGTCTGCATGGCATTCAATCATTGGAACACTGGAGTTGATATGAGTGGTATGTTTGCACAGTAAAATCCAGTAATTAAAAAGAACTGTGGGTTTTGCTGGTTTTAATTGTTTGAAGTAAATTTTACTTTTGAATGATTTTAAAAGGTGTATGAAAATGGACATAATTGAAAATGGAATTGAATTAAATGCATAGAAAAAAAGATTATTTGATAGTGTGTGAAATCCATGTGTTTTCTCTCATCGATAGAATGTCTATGGAATGTTCAAATATGAGCAATAAGTAAAAGTTGCTGGCACCAAGGGTACTAAATTGATTTGAAATATTTTTAAACTTGAAATACTTGTTTACTTTTACTTAAATGTAAATGCTTCTCAACAAGTCAAATAACTGTGAATTCTTAGAGATGGCTGGTATAAAGATGCCATTAACTTTGATTTGCACTGGCCGCTATGGCCATGCAAACAGAAGGCAACATGATCCAGTAAGGAAAAATATGCTTCAACATATTGTTTTTGTTTAACCCTCCTATTCTTGGTGAAGTTGCCCTGGTTGTGTCCAGGACTGTCATAACTCAGCTGGAAGATTTCAAGCAGCACAGAGTAAAGTGTGGGAGATTTAGAGCAGTCACTCTGTGGGAACCTTTGTATGTTGGAAAAAACTCCCAAGAATGGTTCCAGCAACCCCCAAAACTCTCAGTGGCTAGTTAATTTGTAAAAAGCTGGCACGTTGTATTCATCTTATGCTTTGATTTATTGAAAGGCATGCACACATTTAGACATAACATGCTGAACAGCCGACTGCTGAAAATAACTTGTATTTTCTGTGCGGCTGTAAGGTATGAGGAGCCCAACAAGAACCACACCGCACCCTCCCTACGCCCTAGCCTTGCATAGTTCAAATCCAGTCAGCATCTGCCAGATCAAACCCACAGAGCACGCCATCGCTGATGCGCTGATCATGCTGGCTGTACAGAAAGGCAAACGACATGAGGTAGGTCACAAGGCTTTACCTATTTCATCCAGCAGGCATCTAACATGTAGATGGGTATGACATGAACATAGCACAGCATGCACATAATTATACATGTTAGCATGAGCATGTAAGCATGTGAAGAACCTCTGCAGTTTTTTTCCAAACCCTGTGAAACACTGTCTTGACGGTAGAGTCACGAGTTGTGTTAATCTCTACCCTCCAGGGACGTGAAGGTGTCACCTGTTACAATCTGGACCACGGTTGGTCGGGCTTCATCATCGTGGTGGAGAATAGGCACTCTGACTACAGCCTTCACATGAAGTGCGACTGCAATGGAAGCTTCAATGTGGTGTCCACGCGGGGCAGTCTCATCTCTGTGGATTGTATTCCCCCATTACATAGGTTAGTTGTGTTGATAGTGGGACCTCTCCACTCCAGAGTAATAGAGGCAGTTGGGTTCAAGGTTTGGTATGGGTCCCCAGTTTAAAATTGAAGTTTCAGTGTGGTATCCACGCAGGACAGTCTCGTCATTGTAGATTTCATTCTCTGATAAGACAGGTCAAACCACGTGATTTAACTTCTCAGCCTGGATTTAGTTGGCGCTTTTCATACAAATGTTACCCGAGATAAAGTTGAACAACAGTTAAGGAAAAGGCAAAACTAGAGGACATAGTTTTTCCATTCTTTCCAACGTCAGATTAATATTGTACACTGAAGAAAGTCAGGTTTAAGTGAGTGACAAATCTCAGTAATACCATTGCCCCCCTTGTCTTTTCTTTTTCTTTCACCATCAGACAAGTACTCACTGTCCTGACCCAGGTAGTGGAGTCCAGTTACACAATCTGTCATCTGACAACCCATCGTCTGTCCCTGAAGAGGGACCTACAGGACTGGGGACCTCGTAGGGCTTGCCATGTCCCAGAAATCACCCCCGACATCATGGGACTGCATCAGCCACGCCCCATTTGAGATTGTAATCTGCTAGGCCGTATTTGAGATTGGAATCGTCCTTACTTCAGTGCGGTTGAAATCTGAGGGTTCGTCGGTAACACCGCTGTGGTTGTGCCCGAATGGTCCACACCCAATCAAAGTCAAAGTCTTCACCGCCACACCTTCTCGACAGTTGCTTTGGTCACATCTAAATTGGGAGTTTCAGCATCGTCATGCACCTGCTTATGACGTCTCGCCGACACTTCCAGGTTGCATCAGCAACAGTTAATTTTTGGTTGTTATCAAGTGTGTTTCAGTGAAATCATATCATCAGCCTTGCCCCCATGTGAGAACGCATAAATGACATCTTATTTACGGATGCATCCGGTGTGCTTCTGTGAGATGGTTTCACCGTTCATGCTCTCATCTAAGAATGTACCAACTGCACATTGTGCGGTTTCATCCAGTGCGGTGCAGTCAGGTTTCATTTGACCTGCGATTTCATCCACCCTGCTTCAAAGCAGAAAGTGTCATCAGTCACACCCTCACTCGTGAGTGCATCCATCTTATTTGTGTTCCTATTCACCGTCAACTGCATTGAATCAACCAAGACCATCCAAGTTGTTATGGATCTCAACTCACTGAACTAATACCAAGTTAGCCTGTCAGAGTTACAAGTTGAATTACTGTACATTTCTTTTCATATTAAGTTCGTTTTGGAAGACTTTTCGTTGAATTGCTGTGTACGGCTGTGCTGAATATCTGAATATTTGATCGATTATCGAATATTTGAATGAGAAAAATTGCACTATGGAGGCTTGTTTCAAGCAGATTCAAATGAAAAGCAACAGAATTCTCAATGATTCAAAATTAAATTATTCATTAAAAAATTTTAAAGGAATAGAAATTTTCATCAGGGCCAGAAGTATTTTTCATCTCTTAAATCTTGCTAAATCTTGGCTGGAGATACTTTAGTCACGAGAAGCTTGTATAGTGATTATAATGTAAAATTGTGTGCATTATTGCAACTGATTTTGTATATTGTTTAATCAGTAATCTGTTGGTTGGTAAGACCAAATATTTGGATATTCGAATTTGAATTGAAGGTTGAATATTCACATAGTGAATTATTTGAATTGATTCAGCCCTATCGCTGTATATCTGTTTTTGCATTTGGTTCGTTTTTCATATTTTGTCAGGGTCAGTGTCTTAGTTTTCTACTCAACCTAGGGAGTTCGCTTTTCAAAAGGAATAATAAGAAAAGTCACCTTTTAATAGATTCAGGCTTTTTGCAAAGTATTCTATTTATTGTGATATAAATGTGGCTGTATTTGGTGTTGCAATTAGTTGTATATGATAAAGCAATATAGAGTCAATGTGTGTTCACAATGAGCGAAGAATTTATAGTTAATGTAAAAAAAATCATGTTTTGGTGTACATGTACAAAGGGCAATTAATTGCTTAAGAACATTTACTATATTTTCAACTCTTTTTATGCTGTGTTAACCGTGCAAACATTTTGGAAAGAGTCCATGCATTGTGGCTTTAATCTTAAGATTTCTTTACCTTCATGGTGCACGGGGTATTAAGTTTATTGGCATGGATGTGTGTTCAAACTTACCTTGTGTCGTTGGTGATCCTGCAAGAGGCATGTCGGGAGTGTTGATGCTTTGGTCTAGTACTGTAGTGTGTGGTTCACAGCACAGCATCTTCAACAGAGATAAGCTGCTGATGTTTCGGAGGCCGCCAGTTAAGTCCTCTTAAACCATCCGTGTACATGTAATGATGCATCGGCCTCCTCTTCCCCTCCAGTTCACATCAGCTGTTACTGCTGGAGTGCAAATATGCCTGTTGACGGTGGCACATTCATCAAGCACATTTAGACTGCATATTTCTTTGAAGATGCATAGATCTTGTTTTTTTAAGTTGCCACTTTGGTTGTATCTCAGTATGCGAGGCTATATACACCTGAGCAACCTTGTACGCATGTGAAACAAAAAACTTCATTTGGATGATACATCTTTGAAATTGTAGTTTCCAATCTCTTTACAGTGGCTTCACCGGGTAAAAGTCGGTGCATACATCTTGCAGGCCAATATTCATATGCTTGAATTTATCACATCTTTTGCATCATATAGGTTTTGAAGTCTAAGTTTGGTTTTTAGTATGATGTAGATATTGGTACGGCGAGACTAAATTAACTGAATGCGATCATCATTAGGTAACTAGCTTTTTTGAAAGTAGAGGTAGGTGTACATCTGGAAAATAACTCCTCACCAACATGTACACATGTACCTCACAGGAAAGACTACCACTGGGTTGAACACACCACAGTTGGTGATGTTGATGTACATTCCAACAATTACTTGGCAATTTCGACTGCCATGTTTTCCTTAAAACAGGGTTCTGGTTTTCTCAATTAACTTCCTTACAAATCATGTTATCAGTAAAAGTTGTATCTAAAAGTGTGTATAAATACAAATGTAGTCTCTTTCATTTTGTAGTTTCTTTTCATTCACGAAAAATATACTTGTGTGGTAGAATTTGTGGCTGTAGAAAAAAACTTTTATTTAAAGGACGTGTTTTCGCTGTTTGTGGTAAACTGTGTGCTTTTCTGACAGTGCAGCAATTGGAGTATTGGACGCCCTCAAATTTGTGTAATTTGTAAATCATGTTTCAATAAATACATGTATGTTTATCCATACTTTAACTGAGGCAATTTGTAAAATATTTTTTCAAGGAAGCGTTCAACTCTTTTGTAAATTATATGCTGCAGATCTGTCCCAAAGATGGTGTCAATGTCTAATCAAAGAAACAAACTACAGCAAGATATCCTTTTGATTAAATGAAAAAATACTCTGATATATGAAAGATAGTTTATAGATTTTGGTATGAACAATGCATGTATCGTATTAATTTGTTCCTTTTTTTTGGGATGGAATTTGTAATTGGTTAAAGCGGAAATAAAGATGTTGGTTTCCAAGGTAAACAAGTGTCATGATTGTACATGTATTTGCCTCATTTCAATGTGACAAGTTCACAGGTCCAATCAATACTACGTTTCCCTCCACTGTTACAACAACGGAGAATACTTCTAAAAGACAAAAAATCATTTAGAATTGTTTTTATCTTTAAAGCAACAAAATAAATCTCAGCAGACTCTTGATTCATAAAATATACATATATATACTAGAAACGTCTTTATGTGACCTTGATAAACAATTTTCTCCGACATACATTTTCACTTGTCAACTGTAGAATTCAATTAGTTAAATGGTAGGTAAAGAGAAAACATGATTTCAAAAAACGGATGAAAGAAAATGTTCCAAAGAAAGTGTAACAATCAATTCATCTTGAACGATAAATTCACATTTCTTCAAAGAAATTAAATGCTTTATATTAAACCTTGTAAACAACGCAAATGTTTCTTCTGTGTTTTGAATATGAGAGCACAAGGTAAAAAATAGACACTCTCTTCTTCTTGGCTCAATATTTTTTCACGACTGCATGATTTTAACCTAAAAGAACAAACTGCATTTTCTTCTGTAATAAAAATCAGCCAAAAAGGAATTTCATCAACCAGTCAAAAATATGAAACGTGATGAAGACAAAGACATTCGTGAAATTAATCACTTGGTTGCACTTAGAGTGACAACTTGTGACATGGATCAACGAAAAGCTACAACCAACAGATATGTACAGTTCATCTTATGTGATAGGATAGCAAGTTCGAGTACAACCAATTACTGACCGCTGGTTGATTTTCACTGGTAACCTGTGCACAAAATGTAACTTGGACACCAGGCACACTCAACCAGTGGTTGAAAATGGTTCCTGCTCGAACTTGCCCTACTACATTTTGTGTCAAAGATCAATGAAGACCTAAACCCCCAGGTAAGTTCATCTGAAGTAATCTAATAACATTCAAGTGAACACAAAATTGGCAATTCTTCAAGAGAAGTAAGTCACAATACAATATGCCACCAGATTAACAAAGACACACCATGTTTCTCAGCTGATGCTATTTGAGGAACTCAGCACACTAGTGCACCTAAATGATCGTGCTCGATTGTACTGTAAATCACTCCTCTGATTAAAACAAGAGTACGTTTAAGCAGAGTCAGATAAATAGCAATAAAAGAAAAAAGTGAGTTGTTTTGGGTTTATGGTGCTAATTTTATCTACAAACAAAAAGAATCCATGCAAAACGGTGTGGGGAGAACAGGAATACAGAAAAAAAACAAGAAGAAAATCTAAACTTCCACCATAATGACCACCAAAGTCCATCAATGGGCAATCCTCAAACTTCCAAGCACCTTCCAAGCACATGCTTGAATTAGTCGGAAATTGCTTTTCGACACTGTGTCCAAACACATTCTACGAGCAGGAACAAAATGAAATATCATCGGTCCATATTCAACAGAATTTTGTAGCCTTACGAGTGAACTGATCCCAGAGTGTCTGGCAGACTGTGGCTTTATAATCCAAAACTCAGTTTAGCAAAGGAAACTTCATTAACCCTAACGTTCCTCAGTCCTCCAACAGGTGAAGGATTGAGGAGGGTTAGGGTGAAGGATGAGAACACAAGATCTCTGAAGCTTTGCTGATGTGAATTCATTCAAAGTAGTGAAATTTATATAACCAGATCCCTCAAAATGAGTCTTAAGGCCATTTTGCCCATGCTTAGGTTGCATGAGAAAGAACAAACTGAGCTCTCTCTTTTTAAGTATCACTCAGTTTGGCACCCTGATATACAATGGACATTATGTGGGTAAATGTGGAGGGTTCCTATTTAACTCAAAAGTGGCTCTGGTGACTGACAACTCATTTTGTTAGGATGGTTCACAAATTGGGACCAACAAGGAATACAACAAACAGTTGTTAACGGTTGTTAATTTTATTTCGTACGAAAAAACTATCCCGTTGTGTAAAATGATCCAAAATTTACAAATACACAAATGTAACAAAATGTGCATAATAGGACAAAGACATACGATGATATTCAATCAAAGGCCAAAACAGGCCAATGCAAAAACCACAATACAACATCTTGAGGAAATACCTCTCAACTTGTAACAACTTAACATATTGCCTGAAAACTCCATGATTTGTTAGGAACAAAGGCAAAGTTGGATATTCAATTGATTGGTTGCAATAAAAACAGACCTAACTTGCAAGTTTGTCCCTTAACTGTTGGGTCCAGTCCTTGGCTGTTGTGACGACACTATCCACAGCCCAGTGCAGGTCAACACACAGAACGTTCGTCTTGTCACTCTCGCAGAAGAAATAGATGCCCAAACTCAAGGCAACCAGAGTGACAAACAGGGTGATAAACACCACCAGGCAAGAGGTTCCTGAGGGTTGGAGTAACAGATCAACTGTTGTAAATATCACAAGAGCATTTCATTCAATTTGGCGTGGGAGTGGTTTAAGATACTGAAAACATTTATTCATCTGCACAGAAGTTGCACTATGCTTGGGCAGTTCCACCATTTACGGAACCGGTTCCGCATAAATACCCGGTTCCGAGTCATACCCAGTTCCAGGTAATTCAAAGAAAAACATAACAAAGTTAAGGTTTTTCTATGTCTGCAATTATTGTGTCCTTGTAAAATCACTGAATTTGCAAAGTTGGCTATAAAATGTGTTTGTCTATGTCTATTTGCATGAACTTCTTGAAACTTATCTGACTCATGGAGGAATAAGAGCTCATGTCTGACTTTAGGAGTTAAAATTTGCGCCGGTTCTTGACCCAATCAAACCACAGTCTTTCAGACCATCAGAAATACAGTATTCAAAGGTTTAAGATGAAAATGGTACCTGATTTTGCTTTGACAGGTGTGTGCTGGACACCGTTTGCTTTCTGCGCACCTGCAGTGGCAACAAAATGAAAGAAACAATGCTTAAAAGAAAAATTCCTGCAATTTGAGTACAAAGGAATTAAAAGTGTCATTAGTACTAATGTGTACAGAGAGATGAGTTCAAACAATGACAACAAATTAACTCATCGTGGAAATACAGCTGACACACCCTGCCTCCTCTACCCTTGTGTCTCATTCAATGGCCTAACCTTTGGCATTCTTCCTTTCTTTCTTCTCTTCCTTGAGTCTCTTGGCGGCAATGGCTGCCTCGTACTCCTCCGTCTTCCGTTGTCTCTCCAGTTGCTTCTGGAGCTGTTTCTCCTTCCTTTGGGCTTCCTTCTTTCTCTCTCGAGCTGCGGCTTTCTCTTTAATCAGTATGGAGGAGATGAAAGAGAATGGTGAACTTTGCAATACTTCTTATAAATAAGACGTTTAACTGGGTGTGGTCAACTTAAGAGTCTACATGAAATTGGTCCCTAGTGTCAGAAAGATTCATTGCTTCAGTAATTTCAGGTAGGGTTGAAGTAAATTTACTTTTTTCTTTCTCCACCTTCTTCTGCTGCTGGTTTTCCAGTTCTTTCTGAATATCACTCATGTACGCCACAACCTGAGAAAGAATAAGACACTCCTTGATGAATTGTGGATTTTTCAGGTTTTTCACACTGATTTTTTATCTAAGAAATGACCGCTTATAATTACCATTCATTTAAGTTGTACACAGTTTTCAACATATTAAAAGTGAAAACTCATAAGTAAAAACTTAACTGTTGACTGTGTTCTGTCTATGAATGGTTAACACACAAATGACTGGTACAGATTGCTTGTAAAGTACTTGCCACTGCAATCTGTGATACTTCTTGATTCTCAAATCAAGGTTTTTGTTTCCATTCAATAGGGGTGAGGTTGGAGGAAAATTGACAATCCATGAAATAACCACCAGATGTTTTGACGGCCCAATAGCAGTGTAGGGTCTATGGTATAAAGTTGTGTTCACCTAAAGACAACCCTTTCCCATTTCTTATGTTCTATATTAACTTTTATAGGTAAAAATTTACAGTGGTAAAGTTGGGATATTCCAGATTTTTAAAAATATCATTTGAAAAAGCCTGGAATCAGGAAACTTCTGATGAAAAAATCCTGACAAATCTCACCCGATTCAGTAAATGAATCTTGGGTGTGTTCAAGCTCACTCCAATAAACTCAATTCACATACACCTGATACACCTGATAAAAGGAAAACAATCTGCATGCCACTGCCAAGGGGAACAAAGGTAAGACATATTTGTGCACATTCAGATGAAAATTAATCTCGCATATTTTGTGCCGAACATGTGCCTCTTACCCTTTTAGCACACTCTCTGCACTGTTTGTCATCTAGGCAGTCCCCAGCAACTTTCTTCAGATCCTTGTCCAGATTGCTGTTGTCCTTCAGGTCCAGCCATCTCAGATTCCGCAAATTGGCAAAGCTGATTGGAAGGTGCTCCAACTGGTTGCCTGCAAACACAACACAAGCAACTCTTTAAGTTGGATTATGGGCCAGCGGTTGGCAAGTAGTTGATTTGTGATGTAACTTCTACCAGTGTGACATTAAAAACCCTAACTCTCTTGGGTGTATGTGAAATAATATTAGAATCAGAGGATTGAGGACTGTTACTTTGGGTCAACCCTAGCTTTCAAGACCTCTTTTTATGAAAACAAATCAACTGCGTATATTTCACAATTTGTGCCAGATTAGCAGCTATGGTACCAAGGCTACAGCCACTGTTTTTCTCTTCTGTAGTTGGTTTTGGAGTAATTAACAAGGTTCCGAGCAGAGATACCCCAGGATGTTAGCGTTTGCCATCAAAGCTCAACTTAACAGTTTAGAATGAAATTGACCTGGCCTCTTCAATTTCAAATTTTATGACTTTCCCACATTATATTCTAGAGCATAGCATTTTGTGAATCTGAAGGTCTACACCCTAAGCATAACCAGCAGAGGCCACTCAAAGGGGTATATATGTAAGTAGGCATCTGGAAAACAGGATGAGTTTATTTCCATAGAAAAGCAGTGTGGAAAGGAACTGGTAGAGTTCATCTTGAAATAGGTTTTGAGAAGAAATTCAAGAATGACAGTTCACAGGTGTGACTGGATGAAGGTGCAACAGTGTAATAGTGGGGAACCAGCCAAAAACTGGTTGCCTGCTACTCTGGTGGCAGTTGCACCAACGAAATCCTGCTAGAAAACTCAGTGGAATAACAAGGCATGATGAGTGCAATATTCTGTTAGAGACCCACTAATACTATTTCCAATTTGTACACTTACCTAGAAGATCTAGGTGCTGGAGACTGTGAAGATTGCCAATATTTTCTGGAAGGCAAGTTAGGCTGTTTTTACTGAGGTCTAGCTTCACGATGTGAGTTAGTGAGCTAAAGTTTTCCTGAAATTGAGAACAGAATTGACAAATGGGCTGACTGGTTCAAGCCATCATTGAAGGCTGAGCATAGGGACATACAGCATACGTTCACATGTGAATTACTTTAAATCCTTGAACAGACAGAAAAATGCAGGTAAAAACTGTTTCATAACAGAAGAGATTCTAATTTTACCCATTTTTTCCCCTGAAACTTTCAGATGTTTCGATCAGTGGACAGTACAGTAGGCATATACATGTATATTGCAAAATGACTTGCAATCCAAACAACAGTAATGCAAGAAAGTGATAAATCAACAAGATAAACAAAAGCTTTTAAAGTGGTAGTTTCCTTAACCTTAACCATGCTGAACCCAAAACAGACCTTTTTCCTGTGATGTCATGATCGTGCTGGACTTATGTGTTGTGATGGTAATGAGCACAAAGTGTTGTGATGGTAATCTACCTATTATGCGCTTGCACATGGTTGAAGCTGCCCATAGGAATATATCCGATCACCGTGGCCAAGGCGGTCCACACATGGTGGTATTGTTTACATTCAGTCATGGGTGAAAAAGGTCTATATACAACAAAGGTCACTTTCTGAGGGGGTTTTGTTGATCTGAGCAAAAGGCCTTTTTTTGTTAGATGGACCCAAGCCAATTGAAAATGACCGTTCTGTTCAAAAAAGTACTTACATCTTTGGAACACTGTTAGAGTTTGCTTTGGAAGTTAAAAATCATATCAAAAGGGAAACTGCAACAACTTTAACCCTCCTAATAATCTTCATAATCCATCATAAGGTTTTAACAGATTCTGCAAGACTGAACATGGTCCAGCTTAGCCACTGTCACTTTGTACACGATGGTGTTGTTATTGTTGTTGTTATTGCTGATGTGATTCAGTGGCATGTACAGTAGCCTGGTGCCCTATATTCCATCAATGTGCAAAAAGCTTTTCAGTACTGTAGTACATAAAAGTTCAAGATGGGTGACAAGCTCAAAAATAGAATGTGCCGCAGGTTTCCTACAGTTTAGTAAAGTAAATAGCAAAGGAATTTGGAGGACTTGAGAAGGTTTCATGGGAAACTTCTGAGGGATTTTGGGTCAAGAACTCCTGAAAATCACTGGTCCAGGGATCATGCACCCTTGCTTTTATCACTGAAATTCACTGGAAAATAAGCTCAGTTGACTCTTACTGGTAGACTTGAGAGCTGGTTACAAGACAGGTCCAGGTGTGTTGCTTTTGGCAACGCAGCCTGCAAAGGAGAAACAAACATAGCACCTTGAACTTCATAATGAAGTAAACCAAATCATTAATAAAATACAATCAAAACAGCACTTTAAAAGATAATACAATTTATATGTACAGGGTTTACCATTCAAAATTAAAATAACATTTTATTTAGAACTTATTCCTATTCGTGAAACATTCATTGTTAGAAGTGTGTGGTACATTAGCTCCCCCAAAGGTTGTAAATACATTGATGAAAAAAGTTGACAAACATTGCACTGGACTTCAGTAATAGTATTATAAGTCAGTAACTTTGGAATACGGAAATACACAAACATGTAAATGCACAATTTATCCCATTTTGTATGGCAAAAGCAAAGTTGATTACATCAAATAATTATGTGCACATGGATGAAACACTGTGTTCAAAATAATGCACCTCAAAAACAAAAGGCTACAAAAAGTACTAAATTGATCCAAAAGGGAAGAATGCAGCGTCCTGACTCCACTTTTTTTATCAGTTACGACCTAAATAAAGGTCAGTCATTGCTAAAATGTTGAAATGACACTCTACCCTAGACTGAAAACTATTTTGACTTTTAATCACAGACGTTATAAAATACTCCCCCTAAAGCACTAAGGCCTAGGCCTACACTCTCCATTATAGACTTTGTCAAACTGAGGCTCCTTTCAAAATTTTCAGCCTGTTTTAGTGTCAATTGCTATGTTTTATTGGGAAAAAAGGGAAACAGATGTTACACATCTTACACATCTGGTCAAACTGTAAAATATGATACTAGTGAGTAGGAGTATAGGCCTAGGCTAGTCATGCTAGTGCAATTTGCTTTTCTTGGAATCATGCCTCCATCTTCCAAGCATAGGCCTATGTCCAGCATTTAACACGTTTAGACTCGATTTCATTGATTGTTTTCCACACTGATGACAGAACATGAAGAATGGGAGAAAAAGACACAAAAAACAACTACGTGGATCAAATATTGGGCTCCAATTAAGACTCTGTCGACATACAGTACAGCATAGTGTGATACATAATTAAGTTACTCCTAAAATGTCGCGAAGTGAAAAGGCTGTCGTCTGCTAAACATTTTCGAGCTAGCCATGACTCCGGAATGACCACGACGCCCTAGCTCTTATATCACTGTACTTTTTGTTAGCTAGCAGCTGCACTTACCAACTCTCTGACAGGTACTTTAGTTAAATTGCTTAAACTCAAATCGAGTTCTTTGCCATCTAAGTGGTCTCTCAGGGATTCCTTTCCCATTTTATCTTAATCTTAAGTTAAAAGCAAAGGAGAAACTACAGAAAACAGCGAAAGACAACTTAACTCAGCCAGTTTTGTCAACGTTGCGCTTACAGAAATATAGTCAGTTCCTCTACTACTTAGTTTAAGCCTGCAACAACCGTAGAGTTTGGGGACAAGCCAAGTGTCGGTCATACCATTTCTTGTAAATTGGGGATACTGTAAGATTTTGCGTGGAATAATTGTGTAAATAAAAGGCTTAAAACAATCATGTTCAAACTCTCTGTTGAAAAAATAGCAATTAAGAGTACTTTGTATCGAAATAAATATTTATTTTGGTATTTCTGTGTTTATCGAAATATTACATAATAGTATGGTGAAGCCAAATCCTGTAAGAAATCGTACGTTCTAAAATCGTGACACATAATACTACTTATCATTGGTTCAGGTCCCACATGTCCCACAAGTTTGTCCATTAGTAAACCAATGAAAATCAATGTATCATACTTTGTTACTCTTGCATCACTTCGTACATGTGTGCCGTTCAATGATGCAACTGCGTACTGAATAGTGATTTTTTCAGAATTGTGCATCTTATAGATAAAAAGCGATGGAGAGGTGATCAAAAACGTTGATGTTAGTACCGTTTGTTGTTAAGACAACTTAATTTGAACATGGTGAGTAAGTTAAAAATATGTTGTCAATTACAGGTCTGGGAAAGTAGGATGTCCCCGTAGGCCTGGAGTGTAAATGTACGTGAGCCATGTTACCTGCATCATGGAGGTAGAATCACACATTCTACCTCCATGCCTGCATTGACCATGAAGGTAGCTACGTAGGAAAGGATTGGCCAAGCAGGTTAGCATGGTTAGTCCTTCCTCCATGGTTAGTCCTTCCTCCATAGTTAGACTTGGTCCTCTTGGGCCTGTACAAATCGCCTTTTTAAACATTTGAACATGGCCGGTCACCTGACCTAGCCCCACTTGCACTAGTGATAGTGTGGCACGGACTCTCACTCCCGCTCCATCCTTAGCCACACATCTGTAGGGGGCCTATACGCAATTTCATATCGGCGTACTGAACATTTTCAGGCAAAAAGACTGGAAAATACCAGAACAACGTGAGTTAAATCATTCAGTAAATGGTGCTAAGAAAGCAGAGAGGCTTAAAATCATCTCTGTGTGCAAAAGAAATTGCACCCACGATGATAAGTGGGTGCACCGAAAATGTTCAGTACGCCGACATGAAATTGCGTATACGGATGTGTGGCTAAGGATAGAGCGGGAGTGAGAGTCCGTGCCATACTAGTGGGGCTACACCTGACCATGTCATGCATGTCCAAATCATGCAAATGTAAAAAAAAAGCAATTTGTAGGGTCCAAGTTATGTGCTGGACTAGGCCTAAGACTAGTAAGAGCTAAAGAGTAGTCAGGTTGTGTGGACATATGGACATGGCAGAGGATACCGCGTACCCCCAGAACTGTTGGGTCCGATGTCTACCCCGCTCCCACAAACCCCACAGAAAATGAGTCTTTTCGCCATAGGCTCTAAATGATGTTTAACAGGGCATGAACAGGGATTTTATTCTTCTTGTGTACCCACAGAAATGCTGTTCCATTTCCCCAAGAGTTCTATGTGTGGTAGCTTACATATCTTCATACTTTGTACCAAGAAAAAAACGGCCCAAACCTTGCCGATTTTCAAAAAAGGTGCAAATATTTCCCGCTCAGCATCCAAGAGGCATGCATTTCACATGTGTACTTGTGAAGACAAGCCGACGAGCATTTTGCCCTGCAACCTGTTTGTTTGATCAAGTGATCGTGCTAACCATTGAGGGCCTTGTAAATTGGTCCAGTGCCAGTGTGTGGCTCAGGAACATGTTGAGATGCATAAAGGATGTGTGGTATGTGTATGAAATCTTGTTGACGTTCAAAAGATGACTGACGGCTTTTATGAGCTTTGTTGACTGATTTCATTTGATTCTCTCCTTTTCCTAGGCTGCCAAGTATGTTGCACAGATAATAGTTCTTGGGGCTCAAGTCGTGGGACGTGCCTTCACAAGAGCTCTCCGTCAGGAAATCCAAGGTATGGTTGTGTATTGAAGACAGTTTGAGGCTGTAGTAGAGGATGAAATTAGACACAAAAAGTCCTCAGAGGCTCGGACATGGTTAGTTTTTAGACTGCTGTTATCAAGGTCCGAGGAGCTGTCATATCCAGTGTATCAGTTACTTTGTTCAGACAAATAAGGTGAATGGTTGGAAATTGTCTAACGTCCAACACAAACTGAAATTTAAAAGGGTCCTTATCACAGAAATAGAATGTACAGTGCACATGTAACTGTTAGGCCCACCTTGACCCAAACCCTTCTCATGATCGGATGGTTTCAAATGCATTTTATAGGTCTGGGAAGAGTTAGCTGGGTTTAGGAAGGTGAACCCAGTCACTGTTACTTTACATAGGGCTTGATGCCCCTTACCTTTGAGAGCTCAAATTTCACAAGAACGTACTATTGGGTTTCTACAGAGTGGTTGGTTTTACATCATTCGGTACTGTTTCTGACAACATGCGTAGTTTTTGTTCTCAAGTTACATTGTGAAATACATCCAAGACCATTGCTTGCCCACAACAGTGATCCCTCTTGACCTAAATCACATGGCTTTCTATATTTTTCATTAGACCAGTTCTACCGTGTACTTTTCATCACACCTGTAAGCTTTGTCCACAGTTGTTCCATCCCCTTTGACCGTTTTACTTTCAGCAAGTCAACAGGCAGCCAAGCGAGCTGGAGGGGGTAAGGAGGGGGCACAGTCGGCAGCCAAGGATAGCTTGACCGGCATCACGCTACAGGAAGCCAAGATGGTCCTCAACGTCACCAAGATGGACCCTGAACTCATCAACAAGAACTTTGACCACTTGTTCAAGGTCAACGACAAGAGCAAAGGTGGCTCTTTCTACCTGCAGTCCAAGGTATCAATGCCAAAATCGTATGTGTGTCTAAAAATTCAAAGTGTAGACATTGAATAACATAGGATAATAGGGCCCATGACTTACAATTGTGTACAAAAGTTGAGATATCTTTTAAAAAGTTAAAGTATGAACAAAATCGGAACAGCAGGGGCTCCTTCATTCCAGGTAATTATAAAGATTTCTATGGTTGTGGATAGGCATGGTATTTCTTGTGTGAACTTGAGAACAAGAGAGGTCCAAACACATCAGATAGTATAGACATTGCGGACTTGTCCTAGACCACATAAAGCTTTCCCCTTCCCCAAGAAACAGAATTGCAGGAAGTTGGTGGGGGGGGGTTGAGTCGTTTGTAGTAATGCAGAGAAAGAATGATGATCCAGAATTCAGGTTGAAAGAATATTTATAGTGAAATGATTTTCCTTTTTTTTGTCACTAAATAGTGCAAGCAGACGGTAATTTTATGGGCAATGTTGTAGTCGAGTCCTCAAAAACTCACATGTAATTGCCGGATCATGCAGTCTCAAGTCAAAAGTTGTTTAGACATTCCGTTGTCAGCACTTATCCGTGGTTCATCCCCTTGTGCGTGATCCAACTTATGGTTTGACTTGGGACCAACCCTCGAACACTCATCAGAGAGATTCCTCTTGGGTTTCAAAGTGAAGGTTTATCACCATTTGCATTGTTAAAATACAAATCACCATCCCTTGATAATGAAACACCCCGTTCATTAACTATTCATTAATTGCCTCCCCAAAGCCACCTTTGCTTGGTAAAGTCATTTGCAACTGATGTGTTCAATTTCTGTAAACCCCCCCCCAGGTGATCAGAGCAAAGGAGAGACTCGATCAGGAGCTGGATGGAACAGAGAGGAAGGACATAGGAAGTGGTACCACGCAAGAGAACACAAAAGATGCCCCGCCCACGTGATAGGAAACTGCTGGAAAACTTGTACATTGTAAATACGACCCTCAGATGGACTTGCTTCACGGACTTTTGGTTCTTACCTTTTAGATATCCAGGAAGTTATTTGATCTGGGGAGTTTAAACATATTGCAGGTCAGCCGTCTGTGGGAATGTGTTCTCACCTCATTGCCACAATGCAAGACAGTCCTTCACTACATGAATGCAACAAGATTGATCAATATGCACTTGTGAAGTATGTTAAAAAATGGTCAGGTAATGTAATACAGCCTCCCAGGTTTTTCGTATTCATGAAAGAGAAATCCAATTCTTGCAGTGGTTGTATTAATGATTTGTCAAATGCAGCACTTGAAATTGTGCATTTCTAATGAATCACAAGAACACTGGTTTCAATAAAATGTCCTTTATGCTATAAAGTATCAGCTCTAAACGCCGTTGGCAGTGTTGTAAATGAAAATATGCATGCAACAAATTGATCATCCTGAATCTTCGTTCCACAGCAAAGTAGCATGAAACTCTTCAGTGCTGGATTAGTTTAAGGATATTTCAGAACGACATCCTGCAACGTATTGCCTTGCTGGTGTATTATTGTGCCAACATACAGGCACTCCACACAGTCTGATTTACATGCAGAACTTACACTGTGTTGCAGGGACAGGATGAACTTTGGCCAACAGTTATGACAGTTACTTGGTGTATCCGCAGACCGTAGCAACTTTCCTTGGTGTGTTCACTTGGAAATCTGCTCATTGTAAATCATTGCTAATATACAGATATACATGTGAACGGGAGTGAGGTTTTGAAACTTGTCAGTGATAGGGTAAATTTTTAAAGGGGGGTGACATTTGGAAGCAGGGAATAACTGCAAAATGATGAGTGTAGAAAGTTTTAATTCATATAAGTGATTTTTGGTTGGTTTGAAATTGGTATTTGGAAGAAAACCGAATGTGGTCTCATACTTGGTAAGAAATCGCTTTTAATTTGATAACATTATAAATAATCAAAATACAATATAAAAGGATTACAATTTATGTCAGCAATAGAGAAGTGTTCCAAGCCTACATGTAATTTAAAAAACTTTTGAATAAAATAATTTGAGACCTACATATACCTTGAAAATTACCTCTCGGATTACAAACTGATTTGTATCTTGGGTTTAAAAAAATACATACAAAGTTAAAATATCAAACAAGAAGCCAACTATTGGGAAAAATTTCAAAGGAAAATAACAAAACTAAAACAAAATTAAAACAGAAAACTGAAAATGCTGAAAGAATACTCCAACAGAGCAAAAATGACACCCCCTGTCACACAATCATCGTGGAAAATGACTGACCCTACAGGCATGGCGCCTTGGAAATGCAATAAGGATGGGCGAGTTTGGTATGTGGAGAATATCAGTACTCATATCAGGGAGGCCACAAGCCCTGACAATTTTGGAACTGGCCTATCATTAGTGCGTTGTTCTCGATTGACCTTGCTTGTTTGAAACACCAAACTGGCTCGTTCATTCTTAAGATTTACGCATACCGCCAAGGAATAGCCCCCTGGATGATGTCTCAACTGGAGATTGATTTTTCTGAGAACCAAACACAGGGAGGGGTTCATGTGTAGGGTACAACATTCATTCACAGCTACATGTGCTGTCTCATGATTGGATGAGAGGGTCATGTGGTACTTCCATTAGGTACTTTCAGCGCTCTGCCATGCACCCACAGAAAAGACTTGGTAGCCTCCATCTGAAAAGTCAGATATGCGTCACAGCCAAAGTACTGTAGCAACCACAGGCTTGCTTGCCATTTTTCTGACACACAACAGAGTCCGGTGCAAACAGTTCAAGGAGTAATGGGAAATATGAATGAATGTAAAATCCAAAATGTCCCAAAAGCTTTATGGAAGAGTAATTGCATTGGTTTTTGCTTTAAATACAAGATCCTTGCAATGATATACATGTATGTTTCCTAAAATGCATCTTCATGTTTCCATGAAGTTTGTTTAAAGCTGCACAAAAAGTGCATCTGAGAAAACTTCAATGAATGGAACCTTTAATATCAGAACTGTAAAAGAATCAATGTTATTTAACAAATATTGCTTGCATTAACTAGTGGTGAAGTAAAAGTTGCCTTCTACAGTGATCCCAATGGGATCAGCAAGGCTAGTTTTAGAGCCTCTTAATTTCATGTGGATCCGGATCACAATCAGTGATCCAACAGTTCATTGACACCAGATATAAAATGAACTAGCGTTGGGATTGCTGATGCAGATCTAGCAGATCCATGTGAAACAACAGGCTCCTAGAATACCACTCCAAGCATAACAGTTACATGGTCAACCCCTAACCTTTTCGAACAAGCTCGAATTTTACCATGCAGTACATACTTACGTGTACTCCAAACACTTCACCACACACCCCTCAAAAAGACAAAAGTCGATTTCTGTGTTGATGATTTCAAAAGAAAACATGACTGGAACAGAACTTGTTTGTGTACATACATGTACGTTCTCCAGTGAACCATGAAGTCCATAGTCCCTTTCAGATTTTGCCAATTCAGCTTTGTCAACTGTTTACCTTTTTTAAGGAGGGGGGGAGGAATTCCCCAATGCAACCATCACAATTCATGCAGCTGCAAAAGATGGGCACCGCATCACTGATGCTGTATACAGTCAGTAAAAGCAGCACTACTCAACTTTTTTTTTACCAACTCCCAACGGAAGAACAGCTGTCATTTTCAAACAAGGAATTTAATCATCTAATAAGGCTTAAAGCAGGAAATGTTCACTGATCACAATCTTTTCACAGACTTTACTAGAGCACTTAACCTCAACAAGCTTCAACTAATGCTACAGACATCTTGATTTACATTTAAAAAAATTGTGGGTTCAGACAACTACATGTCTCAAACAAAACACTTTTTTTCTACTTAGAATCTTGACATAATAATAAATAATATTTCACATTTTTTAAGATTACGTCTTGGCAAGTCTGGTATCTCTGTACATTGTAGAGTAACCCAAACCCAAAGTTTAACAAGAGAAAGAAATAAATACTTCCGGGGGATTCTATGCTTGACTAGCCAGACTAAATGTAGTACATGTACATGTTATCTTCTATACAATGTACTCATACCTCCTGAGTTCTTGCTAATGTGGAAAATAGTTCCTGGAAGATCACAGACCTTTGCGATTCCTTGCTACAACACTGTAGGAATATCACTGGTAAGAGTCCCCAGCCTCTGACTCATTTAACCTTTACTTACTGTATTTAATCAAAGACCTCAATTTGAGGGAACTATCTATGGAAGTGGAGGCAAATTTCAAACTGGAATTTGTTCAGATGGCTAGCTCATCCTGGCACGTACATGTCCGGCATGCTGAGCATATGTACCAGTCTGATACAGCCAGACTTAATGCTTATCATATCAGCAGACTTTTAGCAGAATGCTTAGTGTTTCTGACAAACTCTGTCAAAAAAAAGTCTGCTGTCGCCGAGACAGTTTTGTGTCCTAATTCAGTTGGGTTCATGTACAAGCATTGAAACAACCAGAGAACCCAAACCTTCATTGGGCACATCATAGACCACTATTTTGTGAAATTCTACTGCACGTTTCTCTCTGTTCGTTTTCATTTTACCAGCTTGAAAGGTTTCCACAGAGGAAATAGGCTTTGAAAAATACACTGAAAGCAAACAGCAACAGGCACTGCACGTCTGAATTTTTACATCTTCACAATCCAATATATGAATTTCCAAGGGAACCATTTAAAATAAAAACCAAACCACACCAATGAAACCCAAAGAAAAAATAAACAGTGTCACCCTGTTTCTTGGATTACAAAGGTACAATATCAGCCATGTTTTGGCACGGTAGATTACAGTTTTACTCTCGTGCAGCTGATGTGCACACAACAGTCACCCAATTCCCTTGTAGGTTCCAGATTTGGTACTCGCTGAAGCACAACCACAAATGCCGTTTGCTTTATCAACACAATCTTACATCAAAGTACAATATATCCTCCAATCATTCTTCACGAATCAATATCATATATCAAAAGAAGCAAAAGTTCCTTTTTTCTCCAATATTTGATTGTACAGTAGAGGCACTTATGTTAACTGTATAACAATACTGGGCAGGGAGCCAACTCCACCTGCCCATGTTCACATTTACAACAATAACAATACTGGGCAGGGGAGCCAACTCCACCTGCCCATGTTCACATTTACATACATGTGCATAACAATTAATTTGAACTTGCTAAAATAGAGTGCATTAATACTGGTCTATGGAATAGCAGTACTCATTATATATCATAATGCATAATCATTTTATGTACAAGTCAGTTTTTTGACATGAGAAAATAGTGTTGCTCTGTTGGTTGAGAAAAAAAAGTTGTAGATAAAAAAATACACTTCAAAAGTTTGGTACAGGTATAGTACAAGTAAAAAAAAGCAAAGCCAAGAAAACCTGTAGGATTGGAGAAGGATGAAAACGGGCTGAAATGAATATGGTTTATGATAATGGCTCTTATTTACACAGCTGCAAGTACCAGGAAGGTTTCTTGATGGAGTCAGTATGCAGGGAAGTCAAGTGGACTCTGGTGTTCTTGCCCGAAATTTCAGATTAGCAGGAGAGATTTTCACGCATGAACATTCACTAGTCCCCTCTGCCCTTACAGGGCACCAGGAAGGGCAGATATTTCAAGATATACCGCATAGCTGTTGTTGAGCTCCCACTGGATAGAGTTCACTTGAACAATACCTTCCGAGTGCACGTGACATATGCATACTGAATGAACATGTATGGACTAGGCAAAAAGTGACCCACAATGCTTTGCACATCTGTAACTGTAACAGACTTCTTTCACAGCTCAGGCACTCAGGATAACGAAGCATGAACAGTTATCCTACGGTTGAAAAGAAAAGCCTGTAATCAGGCCACTGCAGGACTAGCATCTTTAATTTTGATAGATGGTATTTGAGACTGTGAAGTTGCAGCAGCATGCATGCACAATCTGCTCTGTTTCCTCCCATGATTGATGTGCTCAAGTTCCAACTGAGTGCACAGAAACTGTAGATACTGTTGAGACATGAACAAACTCAATGCCCACACAGACATGGCTCAGAAGTTCCTGTATGTAGTATTACACACAGCATCTGCACACTGTATTGTTTGCATACGGCAGTAAGTATGATAACCTAATTTTCATGTGAATGTGCACAAACTTGTTACATGACTGTAAGGACACCAGCTACATGGCAGCAATGTGTCTATCATCAAACAACTTTCTCTTTGGTACAGCTGCATGCATGCTTGTGCAAAGAGCCAAAAGGTCTTTCTTCCCTTATTGAAGAAATACAAGTACACAATTGCTTTAAGCCTATGCTCACCATGACATTAACTGTGCTAATATCACTTATGCTAACTCTGATTGGCTACATGAGACTGAAAAAGGGGGAAAAAAACAGACATACAAATTTTGCAAATAAAAGAGCTAGCAGTCTTTGACTCTTGAATGTGAAAGGTCTTAAGTACGCAGTGAGATCCAGAACACCGGACATTTTTGAAGCACACAGGGTACATTGTCAGCCTTTAAAAAGTGGGCACCCCAGACTAGCCTTCTCACCTGGGATGGAGGCCGTGCTGAGCTCTGAGAAATCATCTCCCCCCCCCCCATGTGACAAGAAATCTCCGCCCATGATTCCAATTGAAAGCCAAGGCATATATTTTGCCATGTTTTATTGCTCATGCACACTTTTCAAAAGGAAATAGGCATGTCTACAATAGTCTTAGATGCCCCTCTCACCAAAACCCTACTGGCACACTACTCAGGGCACAGAGGGTGGATATGTCTCCAAAAAAAAAGTTTCGCATTTCCGATCCTTGGTAGACAGAAACACGGTCTGTTCTGGTGCGTGGTAACAACTCATCAGAGACCAAGTTGGATTTGTATGCATAAGGAGTTCACTCCCATTCAACAGGAAGTTCAAGTTTCAGGATTAACTACTCGCTAGGCCTTCACTCTTGGCCTCCATTCCTACATTTCTCTGGGCGACAACATCCTGGCTGAGGCGGAAAGATCCTTCCGCTGCCACCAACTTTTTGCCATCCTTGGATGAAGCCTCGTCATTTCGCAGCCCCGCAGAAGAGAAGGTCGGTGAGGTGTTCCCAGCCAGGTCTGACAGGTGCCCTGGCAGCGTGACATAGCTGTAGTGGGGTTGCAGTGAGGGTGAGTGAACCAGGATCGGGTAGACGATCACCCCCTCAGGAAGTCCCGTCATGTTGCTTGTTGGGGGGACCGCTGTCACGGGCTGGAACAGTGAGACAGGTGTAGGTTTGGCAGGCAAGATGCGGGCGACAGGTTTGCTGGATGGCGCCGCTGTGTTCGCGGCCTTCTGGGAGATGAAATGATTGAGGTGGTCACGGTTGGTGTAGTGCCCGAAGGTCTTGACATGCTTCCGCAGCGAGCTCGGGTCGGTATAACGTTTGTCGCAGCCAGCTACTTTGCAGAAGTATGGCTTCTCCTCCAGGTGTGTACGTGTGTGCTTGAAGCGGTCACTCGAGTTGGAGTAACGCTTATTGCAGCCTGCTACCGGGCATACATAAGGCCTCTCACCTGAGATGAAGAAAGAACAGGCAGCTGTTAACTTTCATCTGATCATCCACTGATAACACCACACAGGCGACAATGTGATAGGCATTTTAAAACTTGCTGAATGCATTTGTGACTTGTTGTTAAGTCTACTCTCATGGTACAAATGAGTGCTCTAACTTTTGACCATGACCTTTAACTCTGTACAAGTATTCAGTTCACTGCTCCTGAGAGATTAAACACACAAAAGCAGATAACTAAAAAAAAAACAGCTCCCAAGTGTGGGACACATTACAGTGGTGGATCCAGCATTTACAAATAGAGAGGGCACCCCTCATTTACAAAGGGGACGAGGCACCCAAAATGGAGGTAAACCCAAGTATACAGTACCAGAGGGGCATACTGAAGTAATAATTTCTGTCTTTAAGTTATTAAGTAACCAAGCTGACAACAGAGTAAAAACTGGGTAGAAGGAAAGGCATCCGCCCAAAAATAAAAACAGAAAATGGGGGGGGGGCAAACTGGTTGTGGCCCCCTCTTAATCCACTATAACATTCATACACTAATTGTGTAAACAGCCTTGTACTCTCCTTTAAATTTTGTTTTGTTTTAATCCTTTAAATATTAACCTTAATTCCTTTTAATAAGCTTCAATGTATTCTTTTGTTACCGGCAGTACTTATCTTCTTAAGTTTTCTCTCCTTAGATATCATTATACATGTTCAGGTATTATAGTTTATATTATATTTCCAAACAGGTCACTTGGGAGACATTTTGAGGTAAATTTTTCAACATTAGGGAGACATCGATCATTAGGGAGACATTTCAATGTCTCCCTAATGCTCCAACTACCAAAAGGAGGAAAATTTTACTGTCCACATTTTAAGAGATGATAGAATAGGGTCTGAAAGGAAAACATGCAAAGTTTGGTTAAGATCGGATCAGGGAATATTGAATTATGGGACGGTAAAGTTTGAAAAATGTTGTGCACTTTCCTATGAGAATGTCTCCCAAGTGACCCATTTGCGGTAATCATTATTCCTCCTTGTATTGGTTGTAGGAAAGTTCAAACTAAATATCTACTGAATGGAATTCATTTGTACATTTTTGACATTGACTATACCCGAACAAATTTTATTTTATGGACATACATGTATGTGACCACTCGCAAGATCTTTAGAACGTGAGACGTGTCAGGTGCATTCAATGATTTGTAAGCTTGTGCCAAAGAAAACTGTATTACTCCTGATCATTCCCGAGACAATATCAGCTCCTTGCCGGAAATCTGAAGGGTGGTGGCATAGCATACCTGTGTGCGACCTGTTGTGTATCTTGAGATTCTCCAACCGCGAGAAGGACTTGTTGCATATTGGACACTGGTGGGGCTTCTCGTTTGTGTGTGTTCGGACGTGGATTAACATCTTGTACCTGCATATATAAAAAGAAGGCATGACATGCAATACAAAGTAGGCCCGGCATCCAACATGCCGCCTCATCAGGCAGTGGGATGGTGGTTGGACGAGTTTAAATAACAGTCCAGACAAATTTGAAACTTGCAATCCAGAAGTAAACCCAACTGCCTGGATCTTTGGATAGCGAGTTCAGTAATTTCCTGATTGCAAATGACATCTTACTATTTACAGGCCACTGAATTTGAGTCTGATGCATGAGGATGTTTTGAATTCACCAGATTTTCAGTTTCAATGGGGAACGTGGGATTATAACTTTCACAGTGTCAAAGAGCTAGAGAGGAAATAATACAGGTAAGGGAATGAGCTACTACCCCAAGGGTCTTTAACCCTAACCCTCCTCAATCCTCCAACAGGTGAAGGATTGAGGAGGGTTAGGGTTAATGAGTTAGTCGGGTATTCAGACAGAGCATGCTCAAAATGAAACTCGCAGTTTTCATTCAAGAATATAAATACACCTCCGCGAGGTTAGCCATATCAGGGCAGCCGTATTTTGACTCACTCACACTGAACATGTTCAAACTGGTGTGATGTCTTGTGCATTGTTCTCACATGACCTTTCCTAAAAGTACTTGACTAGCTCATTGTCACCGAAGACTCTTTAATAGCACAGTGCCTTAGGATATGTAATACATGTATGTGTAGCACTTAATAGGGATACTTTAATAGCACCTAATGGGTCTTTAATAGTAAACATACCTGTACCAGGTACAGTCCAAGTACCTTGAGATCTTTAACAGTAACTTTCAGGTCTTTAATAGTACTTTCGGGTTCTTAATAGTAACTTTGGGGCCTTTTATAGTACCTTCAGACATCAAGGACTTTAATAGTCTCATGGGGGCTTAAATAGTGCCTGGTGGTTTTTAATACTCACTTGTGGGTCTTTGATAGTATTTGAGGGTCATCAAGTGCCTTTATGATCTTTAATATTAACTGAAGACCTTTAACAGTTCTGTGTCTGTAATGTACATGTAGTACCTTGCATTGAAACCTTTGCCTTTTCTGCTGCAGCCTTCCCACTTGCAGCAGTACTCCCCTTCTACCAGCACCACATGCCGCTCATTGACGTGGCTCACCAGCTCCTCCATCTCGGCAAACCGCTGGCCGCAGCTGTTCCACTTGCAGACATGGGGCAGCAGCACGGAGCTGTGGGTTTGGCCGGCGGGGCTGGCCAGCAGGTTACTCTCCAGCCGCACTGGAAGGACCGGGAAGGGGCCGTTGCTGGAGCTGCTATTACTGCTGCTGTTGCTGCTGCTGCTGTTGTTGGTCGCATCATTTGTGGGAAAGAGGGAGCTGTACTGCGAAGGGTGGGGGGCTGACGAGAGGGGCCTGGCTGAGCCGCATTGGTGAGTGGAAGTGATGAACTATTGAGACGGAAGAAAAATACAGAAAACTTGGATTGTCAACTAAAGACTGAATGGAATTAATCCATGTACCCTACGCAAAATATCTGAATTTATGATTGCTTCATGGATAATTCCACAGAAGCAGAAGAGGCAAATAAAATAGTGTGTGCTGAGGTGATTTGCAAGCCACGAATGATAAAAAGGACTGGTAAGAAGTAAAGCATGCAACTTCCACTTACGTGTACTTGCATTTGCAGTCACGTAACACAACGTTTGGGTTTTCCCAATAATCAGGCTGGATCATTTTGACCGAAAAACACCTTTTTTAAAAGCCACATTTTTAACATTAAGAGATAAATGCAACAAATTCTCCCCCCCATAGAAATGTGGGTGAGGTCTGCTATTAAATACCTACCCCAAACAGTCACTAAACATGCAAATTCCTTTGCATCTGATTCTATTCGCCAAAGTTCTGATCAACCGTAGTGCGCCCTCTAGTTCCATGATGCATAGTGGAGCGGCCGCCATGTTTGTCCTTCTTTTCCGGTATTAAAACCATCAAAGCCAAACGTGGGGAAGGATGGGAGGGAGCCGACTGTTTGGGGTAGGTATTCATAGCAGATCTCACCCACATTCCTGTGGGGGAGGAATCTTCTGCTTTCATCCTACCCCAAACAGTCGCTAAATATGCAGAGTGAAAATGCACTACGTAAAAGTGTGCGCCAAAGGAGCATGTCAGCCTCAAAGACTGTAGTGCAGACTCACCAGATAACGGAGCTGTTAGGTAGTTTCAGAGGTGGACTGCCCTGATGAGGAACTTCTGCATTGATGTGGACGATGTCAGGAGTCCTTATCGTCGAGGAAGCCCTCATGTACAGACACAATGGCTGACCGGTAGTTGCAGAGAGTTGATACTTGTGGGTCAGATTTGAACAGGTGCATAAAAAAAATCAGCTACAGTATTCAAAGAAACCTCAGTTGGATATAGACCTCACTCCAAACACCACAAAGTAAAATGTTGGAATCTGGCATTGTAGATGTTGCGCGTAGATTGACGTCGGCTCTTTGGGGCCATATCGGCAGACTTCATCAGAATGTCCTGCTGACTTGAAGGATTCTTTGACAATAGCCAGCAAGTCAGGGGTAGGGATACCGGGTGACGGTGAAGAATGCCAGACCTCAGTTGGTGGAGTAGATCCGGCCAGGGGAAGGACCATCGGTACCTGCACGAGTAGTCTGATTTAGATGCGGGAACCACGGCTGGCATGGCCGTTTCTGTGGCAAACAGTCGTGAGCCCCCAGCTGTCTGTTGTGACTTTCTCCCAAGACCCTGTGAAAAGTCACCGCCGACAGGTGCAGAATTGGAGGGAAGAGGCAAATCTGAATAGTCAGCGGTGTCTACCCCTGAAAGATCGAGGGTAGCACGACCCTTGTAGCTCTTCTGAGGTGGTTTGGCAGACTGGGAAGAGGAGGAACGGCCATGGTTCGTCTGGGGACTGGGTTGATGAAAGGGGCAAAAAGAACCAGAGTCCCCATGACATGGAGGTCTGAAGGGTCGAGCCCAGCGGTCATCAATACGGGACTGGCAAGGAGGAGCTGAAGGAGGAGGTTCACAGAAGCTAAGCTTGTGGATCTTGTCAATGCGCTCAGCTTCGGCTTCCATCAGCTCCATGAACTTCCTAGCAAAAAGGTCTTTACCATAGAGAGGGAGGTCCTGAAGTTTTGACTCGACTCCCTCACAGGGAATGTTCAGGGTATCCAAAGCGTTGATCTATGTGCTAAAGTTAAGATGGAGATCCGTATGAATTGCTCAAAGATGGAGTTGACCTTCTCAAGTGCTCGAAGTGCAATGGCTGCTAAGTCCCGGGTAACTGGCAAGCCTTCTTCAGAGGCATGGGCCAGATACTCAGATAGGAGTACCATAAAGGCAGTGCAGCCGAGACCTTGCCATGAAACTCTGTCAAGTTTGGTAAGGGTAGTTTCAAAGGAGCACTTGTCTTTGTCTTTAAAAGGGGACTCCTGTTAGGCTTCTGAGCATCAGATGATAGTTTATTTTTAGCTGCAATTGGAATCTCAGGGATGGAGACAAAGCTATCAAAGTCCTCCCTGGAAAACTGGAAGTATAAGTCGATGCTCTTGGGGGGTACAGGTGCCATTGCTTAACACCAACGAGAACCTTAACATGTCAACGCATCAGCAGTCAAGCTGCAGTTCCGGAAAAAGCAGAGCCGATGCCTCCAATCTAGCAGGTTGGTGCTTGAAAGAGGTCTCAGCCATAGGCGGATTGGAAGGTGGACCTAGAATCTGCTCATATGTTCCTGGAGAAGACAGAGACGTGCCTCCACAGGGGAAAGGTTGGCTGCTGTGGAGGTGTCGTCTTTGTCCTCCGAAGACGTTATCTTGTTCTGCTTGAAGTTGATCGGAGAAGAAGGGACATCGTGTATGGTTGAGATGCAAGGGGCCGGAGCAGGATGTGAGCTGTAGCCCACAATGGAGGTCAAAGGGATGCAGCCATCATGAGGAGATCAGTTTGTCAATGGATGCAGATGCGGGTAGAGGGTCTGGATCCAGAGCAGTCATCGCGTCAGCAGGGTTAGGCTTTAGGCAGCTGGCTATTGAGGAGAGCAACTCCGAGAGGGTACACACCGCTAACTTGTCGGCTGAAGAGACGTTCTGCCATAAGGAGCGAGACTTCTTGAGCTTGGACCCCCTGGAAGAAGGGGAGGAGGACGGTAGCCGGAACGTACGGTGTTCGGAAGCCCCAACGACGTAGGAGGCCAGTGGGCTCTGCTGCCCCAGGTGCGGGCGGTGGCATGCCTGCGTGGCCCGGTTTTATCTCTGAAGGGGCCGCCCCAGATAACGTCGGGGTGTTGGACTGACAGGGATTAGCATCTCTGTCATGCCTGGGTGCACCAATTAAAAAGACCCGAAGACGACGGCACCAGGGGTGAGGCAGCCGGTACAGTCAGTGCAGGAGGCATAAGGCCGTCCTGGTGCATGGTCTTGTGAGCCACCGTTGGACCGGTGTAGACTACGGTAGGCATTGGTTGAGAGCTCACTGCCGGCCGACTTCGCTTGGTAGGAATGCTTGGGAACTGGGACGTGTGGTGGTAGTGCGTCCAGACCCAGCTAGCAGGGGAAATTCAACCCCAAGTGCAGCGTCACTCTGCACTGTCGTTGACTGCGATGCTATAGTGGTAAAGCTGGGGAACTCAGCGTTCGGATTTCGCATGCACTACAGCTCAGACCCTTGAAGTGTGGCGTGGGCTAACCCTAAACTGGGCAGAGGACGCTACCATCAGCAGGAATTAGCGCAGAATCACAAGTATAGCTGGAATGCCACTCGATCTTCCACAGACTGGCTCATGTCAGTCTATAGGGGAGAGAGGGGCTGCCGAATCAAATCACTGGCATAGCCTCATGAACCCCAACAATCCCAGGGTCGCCCCATTGACCCTATGCATCGCTTGGTAGTACAGTAACCTAGAGTCAACGAGTTTGTAAGATGCCTACATATAAGAGAAAATACAAATACAACAAAAACAAGAAAATGCACACACCAAACTAGAAAATATATCAAAATACTAAATGTACATTTATTACATTATGTTACCGTTGATCAGAGTAACACAGAAATGTGGTAGCAAAATGGAAACTCAACAAACTCAAAGATACCAAAAAAACACATGTCTGCTTAGAATCACACCAAGGAAAAGAAGGACGAAAAGGTCAGCCATTCCACTATGCATCATTGGACTAGAGGGTGCACTACGATTGAACAGAACTTTAGCAAATAGAATCTGACACACAGGAATTTGCACATTTAGCGACTGTTTGGGGTACATGTACATGTAGGTTAAAAGCAGAAGACCCTCATGATTTTTAACAATATTTGCACAGTAATTCTCATTGTAACTTAATCTTTTGTGAAAAACCCTCTGCTTCAGCATCTGTGATATCAGCTACAATGACAAGCCCTGTACAGTACAGGTGGCAAGCTGAAGTTTAGTACACGTCTTACTTTCACAAGCGTGTAAGTGTATACGAAGTAAATGGATATGTGAAGATGCCACCACCTGTCGATGTGAATATAGTACTGGTACATATGCACTATCCCAGTGTATTTCCACACTCTTTGTGAAAATGGTGAAAGCGCTTGCCAGTTTATGTGCCGTCATGTGTAAACGTGTTAATCTGACTTCTACAGTGCAGAGCAAACCCACCTATTCAATTTGTTATTTTCACCATGACGTGTACCGGTACATGTCGGAATGGGCGTCCATAACAATAATGAATTTATAGACGTTGAACTGTAAATGTTCAACATGTACAACCAACAGAATGGGCAAATTTCAGACACGAGTTGAGGTTGAGGAACTCGAAATGTATTTTGCACAATAACAAATACCAAACACCAACGTCAGGTGATCTTCTTCATAGTCTTCTGTGATGCATATGGAATTGCATGCGGTTTACATGTACCATCCATCTCAATTTTAAAACAAACTCATTATATGTACAGGCTGAATAGGATTACCAAATGGTCATGTTCTTATCTTTAGAACTCTGGTCGAGATCCCTGGAAAAGTTAAGACTGCACAAGACAGTATTTCCAACAGTGAAACCACTGAGGCTCTTTGTGGGATTCGGACCATATGCCATTAGAGTTGGGACCTACGTGTACATTGTACTACTG